AACATTGCACATAGATCAGAGCAACCTGAATGGTATTTGCTTCTTGCAAAGAGATAAATAATGCATTGCACCTGCTGTTTTCCACCTGATGCTTCTAATCTGAGAATGACAGAGGCTTTCTGTGTTCCGGCATCTCAGAAGTCAAGCTRGGGTTCTGCCTCAGAGCCATATCGATGTAGCAGTTCCACAGAGGCATAAAGACAGCTTTCAGACTGTACCACAGCCAAGGCCAAGAGGAAGCAAGCTGTAAACCTGGTGGCCAGAGACCTGTCCTTTTGGGCTCCTTGGGATGGAGTGGGAAGGACCACAGGGCTCTCTGTATTTCCTTGGGGATCGTGACATTTGATCTCCCTCTTTTCTACTCTGGAGTTTAGATCATATTGACTTTTCTGAGCAGAATCTTGCTGCTGGGGACATGGTCCTGCACATGGTCTCCCTCTGATCTCAACATCCTCACTTTGTTTGGCTAATCCCTGTCTGTGCTGGGTGTCCCCAGCATATCCTGCCTCTGGCCCCCAAGGCAGCCTTCCCTGGCCCTGCCACCCTGGATCCAGGTCCTTTTCTAAGCATAATAACTGCCTCTTCACATGTGCATTTCCCACACTTGGACTTCATCTTAGTCCCCTATATTTCCAGGACATCTTGTGCACAGTAAAAACCATCAGGTGCTTATCAAGGCTGTCTCCAATGTTCCTAAAGCTGTCTCATGTGTTTGAAAGTTCCAGAATCTCAGGGTTAGAGGAGAGCTTAAATGACTACCGATCTTTTGTACACTTCAGATCATTTGGCTGTACCCCTGACTGACAGGTAGGCAGGCAGGCCGTCCCCTTTGCTTGGTCCCCTGCAGTCATGGGGAGACACTGCCTCCTGAGACACCTCCTCTCTGCCTGGGCTCTCGCAGTCAGAATGCTGTCTCTCACACTGAACTTTCACCAGTTTCCTGGAGCCTCTGTCCTTTTGGTGCCAGTTTTTGCTCTTGAAGCCTTTTAAATTTCTTTTCCTCACAACAGTACTCCAGAGAGTCTAATCCAGTCCTATTGGTCTCTTAAAGAGAGAGCTTTCTTCACTCCTTTGGGTAAACATTCCCAGTCCCTTCAAAGATTCCCAAAGGAATGTGGCTTTGAATTTCTTCACCCTCAGGCTGCTTCTTCTCTGTTTATTCTCTATTTCCTTATTATTTTTATTTTACTGTGTTAAGAAAACATAACATGGGGCTGGGGATACGGCTCAGTTGGTAGAATGCTTGCCTCGCATGCACAAGGCCATGGGTTCAATCCCCAGCACCAAAAAACAAACAAACAAAAAAACAAACAAAAAAACAAACAAAGAAAACATAACAGGGCATCTACCCTCTTTACAAAAATTTAAGCATCCAATACAACGTCATTAACTCTAGGGCACAGTGCTGTACAGATCTCTTGAGATCACTCGTCGTGCAGAACTATCCATCAGCAACTCATCTTGTTTTGACATCTCCCAGCCTCTGGCAATCATCTGGTCCTCTTTAATTCTAGAGTTTGACCACTTCAGATGCCTCAGATAAGTAGAATCKTGCAGTCTCTGTCTTTCTGTGCTGGCTGAATTCACTTAACAGTGTCCTCAAGGTTCAGCCATACTGCCATAGCAGGATTTCCTTCTTTTTAAAGGCTGCATAGTATTTCCTGTAGGAATCTCTGTTTTCCGACTTCCTTTTAAAAGTGTGACTTCCAGAAGTTTACCCCAGCTCTGGGTGTCTCTTACTGGTGGAGAGGAGTGAGAGATTATCCCCTCCTTTATTTCACTGCTTCTAGTTTCCACCTGACTTCCTCACCCAGCTGAGCTGGGGGTAATCTAAAACTCCAAGGCTTTTTCTCCTGTTCTTGCACTAAGCTCCGCCCATCCCACCTTGTGCTTCTGCACTTGGTATTTTGTCCCTAGGGAAGGACATGACAGCTTTCTCCACCAAGTTGCATTTTGCTCTGCGTGTTGTGGGTAGCCACCTAGTCACCTGAGGGGTTTTTGGATCCTGATGGTTTGCCTGAATTCCTAATTCTTATTCTGAGCCGATGTGATGAGCCTGGCTGTTCTTTCTGCATCCAAAGCATTGACAAAGGTAAATGCCAGCACCTTGGGGCAAGCCACCAGAAGCTATCCGTGGACCATGACACTTAAAATATGGTCCTAGATTCACTGCGATAGAAATAATCTGAGATACTAGTTGAAAATACAGATTTCTGATTTTCCAGAAATATAGCATCAGAATTGATGGAGGTGTGCCCAGGAACCTGTATTTTTAATCAACACACCATATGATCTCAGTGTGTGGCACGTTTGGGAACAATCAACTCCAGAGTTCACTGCCTTGTAAAGCACAGAACAAATTCTAGTTTGATCCACTCCAAGGCTAACATCTACAGCCCAGCCTGCTGGGATGGGAGTGAGCACTGCTGGGGAGTGTTGCCTGGTTCTACAGATAAGGTCAGTCTATGGGGGACACACAAGCTCTCCACAACAGCTCCTGACCTTTCTCTGCTCTGTCCTCTATGCCCCCCCTGAATCTTTGCTTTTGTCTCTTTGGTTCTGTGTCCTGGCTTCCAATGCCAGTTTCAGCTCCTGGATGCAGCATATCTGACCTCCTCTGCCACCACTCGGAATTTCATACAGGCTCTCTGCAGACAACGGATTCCAGAGTCTCCCATAGCTTCTGCTGAGAGGTGCCTCTCTGACCCTACTGTAGTGAAACAAGCCAACTCTTGGGAATACTAGTTAAAGTTCAGTTAGTGCATCGCCCCAAACCACCTCGCTCTGAAGGCAGGATCTTACTTATTCAGATTCACTTCCTATTCACATTAGTTTTATTCCAAGAGATCTATGCTGCCCAACACGTAATATGCTGGGRGAGGGAGGTACGCAGTAGGTGTTCACGAAACCGTTCCTTCAGGAGAATTATTTAGTTTGAGGCAATGGCTGGGAGAGTGAGAATACTGTGGGCTTTGGGGCAAGGTTGCTATGAATGTGCATTTTAGCAGTCCTGTTTTCGGCTGTGTGGCCTTAGCCGAGATAATTAACCTTTCTGAACCTCCAGTGTCTCAAATATAAATGAGACATGTGGGCTTTAGCTCTGAGGGGKCTTTAGCTCTCAGGCTCTATGATTCCTTAGAAGTCACAGATCTCCTCTTACTGGCTGGTACCAAATTCAGGGTCCTCCCTCAGAAGGCACTCCTTTGCAGTCAAGTCTTGCAGCTCAAATCAGGCTGGAGTTCTCTTTCCCCCGGGGCACGTGGCAGGCTCTGGGCAGATCCTGCATGAGCATAATCACTCCACAGGCCTGCGCCAGCCCCCCACTAATCACCAGGCTGTCACTCTAACTCAGCGGCACTCCACCACTCACCTAAGTAGTCACTCTGGCTTCTGCCCATGAGCTCCTTTCATCCACTTTTGTTGATCACTGTTGAAGCATTTTTTAATCAAAACAATTAAATATGCTAAATCTTCCTCAATTAGTTATGCATTAAAAATTAAAAGTACTCGAATGGAAATGGCAGAAGGAGCCCTCTGCTTGGTGCTGAGTGTTGGTGCTTGGAGCGCTGCTCCCCCCAGGCACTTTCAGCTGTGGAAACCGATGCTCACACAGTGACGGAGGCTGAGGCTGACACAGGCCGGGGAGGACAGCCCCTTCTCCCCATAAATGGGAAACTGAGGCCCAGTGAGATCCGGGCCCTTTCCCAGGCTCACGGAGGATGTCAGTGACTGGGATTTGAATTTCTAATATTTCTTTTACTGGAAACCCTTACCAAAGGGCTCATGGCTTTCATTTATTCACAAGTCTTTTGTTTTTCCATTCATCTGTCATTTATACTGAATACTTACASCATGGCAGGCACTGTGCTGCTACATTCATGAAAAAATGGGGAAGAAGGTACAAGTCCTTGACCTCAAGGAAGCTGTCATTTAATGGGAGATACAGGCAAATAAAGTTTGATTCTCAATACCCCTTGAAAATATTAACTCTAAGTCTCCATTGCAAAGCCTAATTCCTTAATTCTTGCCAGACTAATAATCCGACAACGGGTGATTATTTCATTGTTGCTTTAAAAGGAATTATATTTTGAAATGCAAACTCTAATTTACAGCTTTCAGAAGACCCCTTTAGCTACAGATAAAGTTGACCTCTGAACCTGGTCCACATCTTGCTTCTGTCTACTTACCTAACCCTGTCTTTCCAGGCCAACTCAGGCTTGGGAACCAGCTCTATTCATTGATGGATTCTGTTCATTGTGTGATGGGAGTGCATGACCTTATTGCTTTAAAGAGTACTTTCCTCATCTGTAAAAGCAAGTTCCTCCTTTAGGGAAGACAAAGTCAAAAGCAGCTGCTGTGGGACCGACAGTCCTTGTGGGGTTAAAGGGCAGGCAGATAGATGTACCATGGTGATCTATCCATCTTCTAGCAGGGAACTGACCCCTCTGTGGTACCCAGAGGACCTAGATGAAAAGAATTGTGGTGACACCCTCATGTGGTAAGCATGAGGGTGCCAAGGACATTGATAGCTGTAAAGAAAGTGGGGATCATTCTGATCCAAAGATGCTTCATGGAATAAATGAGATTTGAATGGGAGCTTTAGTAGACTTTGGAAAGACCTTGAAGGAGGAGAAAGGAAGACATTCATACTGAGGGCCAACCTGGGCACAATGGTGAGCAGTACGGGGCCACGTGGAGATGGATGTGTTAGAATCAGTGCCTCCAGGAGGCTCAGTAGACAATGGACAAAGGAAGAAGAATTAACATCTTCTAAGCAACAAGTTTGAATAATATATATCCCTTCTCATTTCAAGAAATATTTGGATTGGAACCAAATATTTCAGAAGAAAAATCTGAAATTGGTTCAAGAATGGGCACTTCAACCCAGATCTCTCAGACCCCATGCATRTAGTTAGCTTTTGCCAGTGGGAGCTGGTGGTACTGTCTCAATTGTCTGTTAGTATCTCAGCATTTTGTGTTTTTCTGTCTCCTTATTGCAGGTATTACCAGCAAAGACATTGAGACATGCATTGGAGGTGGCCTCGGCTTGGAATATGATGATTTTATCAAAATTGAAGGAAGTTTATCAGGAAAACATTGTGAAAGATCTGGAACTGGCAAAACTGGCAAGTGTTTAGCAATGAGTCTCCCTAAAAGAGAAGCCAGCCTTTCCTTGAAACCATCAAGGAATGAAAGTGATTTTTTTTTTCCCTCTGACTGGTTCCATTTTAGACAATAGTCACAGTGCAGATGCTAAACACCCCACCCCATGYATGTAGGGCTCTATTTTGAATCCCCATGCCCTGGAACCACCTAGGAAATATCTGAGTTTGTATGGAGCAATCCCTCGACCCCCCCATCCTCAGATTTCTAGTACTAGACAAAGATCCAGCCAAGCAAGAGCTGGGATGAAGGGAATGTGTTGGCAGATTTTGACGAATGGTCTGTTGGAATGGAGACTCATCAGATAACAGTCCTGAGGGAAGAAATGAGGCTGTAGGGAGAAAGGGAATGTGATTACCAAGTCCAAGCTCACAAGAATATTTGGTGGCGTTTCCTTAACAAATTAATATGGCTATCCCTGTATTCATTGACTCATTCATTCATCAAACATGCATTGAATATTTTTTTTTCATGTGAGARGCAGAGGATTCAGGGATTAGGAAACAGTTTATAGAGCAGTGGGGGAAGCACATCCTAAACCAGTTCACAGTCCACCCTTAGCGCTAGGTTGCTCCTGCCTCAGGGCTTTCAGTCACAGTCCCTCCACTCCCTGCTGTCCTGCCTTGACCTTTCCTTTCTCTTGGCCAACACTCATTCACCTTCCTAGACAACTCACCTTCCCCCTGACACCTCTCACCCGCTACTGAATGTCTGACCACTTTCTGATGGCCCCCACTGAGCCCTATGGTGACAACTGTCATGGCACTTGTGATATCTGATTGAATCTTTTTGGCATATCCGAAGACCCAAATCAACTTTATTTTTGGGGGGGGTGGGGGAGGGCAGGTACCAGGGATTGAACTCAGGGGCACTCAACCACCAAGCCACATCCCCAGCCTTACTTTGTATTTTATTTAGAGACAGGGTCTCCTTGAGTTGCTTAGGGCCTCGCTTTTGCTGAGGCTGGCTTTGAACTCAAAATCCTCCTGCCTCAGCCTCCAGAGCCACTGGGATTACAGGCATATGCCACCTCGCCCAGCCTGAGTCAACTTTTGACATAGGAATGGATGGATGAGTGGATAAATGGCCACCCATTTCCCCATCCCCTTTATCTTCCCTGTTGGGCATGGCTAGCTCCTCAGTGTCTGTTCTACTCCAGAGGATGAGTCTGTTTCCACGTCTTGGTCCTTCCTTTGCCTTGTCCTGCTAGTTAGTTAGGCCGAGCAGAAGACGGGAAACAGCTTCGTGGCGAGAACATCAACATTACTCTCGATCTCATTAGTGGAGGTTGGCAGCCGGTTTTCTGGCTTTTGGGGGAAATGAGCTCATGCAGTTATCCCCTTGGTAGGAGAAAAAGACAAGAGGGCCGCRGCTGTGGAAGACGTCATTTCTCGGGTGCAAGGTGGCAGTTCTGGCTGGGGCGGTGGCCTGACACAAAACAGCAGCGCCATTACATACCGTTCCTGGGGGAGATCATTAAAGTATAATCCTGTTGTTATCGATTTTGAGGTAAGTCTTTTCGCAGCTGAAGAAGCCCTACGTCCATGAGGAATGAAAGTGAAGCAGACCAGATCATTTCATATTTCTTATTACGAGCCCATCAAAGGACAAGATTAAATGTAACGGCACACTGACTAGAGGGAGGGTGTGGCTTGAGACCAGGCCTGGGGAGAACCGGGGTCCAAAACCGACTGGCTCCTGGGGGCCAGGATTCTACCAGTGGTTTGGAAGGTCAGCAGGGTTAGGGCCCATTAAACAAATGAAACCTTGTTTAATTACAAAAATCATATATGTCATGTAAGGGCTTGGCAGGTTTTTTTTTTTTTCTCTAAAGGGCCAGATAGTATGTATTTAGGCTTCATGTACAGTCTTTGACACACAGTGGGACTGGTAGATGCTTCCTTTCTCCTCTTCTTCTTTACCATTCTTTAAAAAAAGTAAGTGCCATTTTTAGCTCAAAGACCATATTAAAAAAAAAAAAAAACCAACCTGTGGGTTCACCTTGAACTCAGGCTGTAATTTGCTGTCCCTGTTCTAAATKATCTCCTCTCCTCATCAGTGAACAGATCCTTGGGCATAGGTGTGATTCTCCCCATTAAGAAGATGGGGAAACCCAGGCTTGGGGAAATCCGAGTGAGTGTTTAAAGGACACAGAATTCACTAGGGGCAGTGCCTGGATTTCAGACCTGTGGACTTCGAATCCAGTTCTCACTTCCCTCTGTCCTAACACCCTCCTTCCAACAGTGGGGGTGATTGTGTTCCACAGGGAAACTGTGGCCATGTCTAGCGGTACATCTGATTGTTACAGCTGGTAGGGGACAAGGTCAGCACCACTGGAATCAGAGGCCAAGGACSCTGGCAGACATCCTACAAGACATAGAACAGCCCCTCCGACCCCTAAAGAAATCCTGAGTTGGAATGAATGTCAATAGTAACAAAGTTGAGAAAACCTGGCTTAAACCACTAACCTCACAAAGGGAGTCAAACTACCAAATCTGCCAAGGAAGCGGCTTAATCTAGCAGTTGTCCAGCTGCTTCTGTTAATATGCAGGGTAGTCTTGTTTTTTTTTTTTTTTTTAAGTTTGTGTTTCAGCCTTTTAAGCAAAATATTGTTTTCCCAACCATATTTTCTYGCTCTCCTTGCCTTTTTATTTATGTGCATTTACAATCCCAGGTATGGAGGTACCTCTTCTCCTAAAACAGATACCAACAGTTAAACCTAAAAGCCTATCGTACCACCCTGCTTTCTATGAAGAAAGAGGTCAGATGGATTAACCTTGCTTTCATTTCTTTGCCAATAAGTAAGGGACCACTTTCACGCACCTGTAATTCACATAGGGTCTGAAAATTGCTATCATCAAGCTATTAGTGATTTGGGCAAAAACTGTAAAATTGATATCAGGAGAAATACATAAACTTTCATSGTCAAAAGGTGAGCTTTGTGTTTGCCCTGAGCAAAACTTCCAAAATGAAAACCGAGGTCCATAATTTGGAGGCTGAACATTGTCTTTGCGGAAAAAAAGAGCTTGGTGTTTGGAAGGAAGGGAAAAGAGAGTTTAAATCAGGCGTGGCCACCTTTTTATTTTTATTTTTTTGGTACTAGGGATTGAACCTGGGGGTGCTTAACCACTGAGCAACATCCCCAGCCCTTTTTATATATTTTATTTAGAGACAGGGTCTTGCTGTGTTGCTCAGGGCCTCGCCGAGTAGATGAGGCTGGCTCTGAACTTGCTATCCCCCTGCCTCAGCCTCCTGAGCAGCTGGGATTCCAGGTGTGCACCATCGTGCCCAACATAGCCACCTTTTCCATGTGTGAACTTGGGTGAGCTGTCTCACTCTGTGAGCCCAGTTTCCTTTTGATAACATGGGAGTAAAATGCTACATTTCAAAGTTAGAAAGACAGGAGCAGGAACTTAGCAAATGTCGGTAGATGAAGCAGATACGTGGAGGCTGAGTAGCCAGCACAGGAGCTCCTAGCTTCCCAACGATCAGGATCAGTGCCACTTGAGCCCGTTGGGCTGACTCTCACACCCAGGATTTCCAGAACGCATACTGCTCCCCAAGAAGTGTGAATTTGACACATTAAGCCACTGGCAGATTTCAGAGCAGGGAAATGACACGGTTGGTGCTGCTTCAAAAAGAGAATGCTCTCAGGGAAAGGAAGGACAAACCAGAGGAGAGAGAGGGCAGAGGGGAGGTCTTGTGAGGGGTTGGGGGGACCCGTTGTCCAGCATGGAGACAGGGTCTTACTGGCATGTCCTCTGCGCTGGCAGTGATTACTCCCAACAGTTGCTTGGATGAGTGAATGCAGGAGTCGTATCTTGCACGCTTTATGCTCTGTACACCACGTTGCTGTGTTGTGTGTGCTGTGTGTCATTTATAGTGTGTGGCGCCTGCTCTGAATCTGTTTGTTCCCCTGTAAATGGGATCAGATCACTGCCGATGTCTTTTGGGAGTTCACATTCTAAAACTCTTCTCCACCTCTCTTCTTTTGAGAAAATCCCACCAGCCCTCYCCAGGGTGGCTTCCTGCCCATTTCCTGAAGTTCTGAAAGGGGGAGGCCTGAGATGGGGACATAGTGCTGAGCCCTGCTGCATGGCCAATGGGAAGTTGCAATGGTCCTGGCCTTCCCRGTACTGAGGGTCATCTTTAACCAGAGCCACAGGGCAGCCCATTCTGCACTGGTGTCCTAACTGTGGGGCCCAATTCCCTGAACTTCCAGTAAGTGATCCTCTCCTCTTGGCCAGGGGCCCAGCCAGTCCGGACATCATCTGCCTGGTGACCTGGGCCTCAGGCCCTGACCACATGCCAAAGTCTTTTTGTCCATATTTCCAGGAACCAGCCTGGGCTATTGCAAGYGCCCTCTGTTGACTGCTTCCAGAGCGGTGCCCCACTGTGACGCCCACTTTGACCTGCTCAGGACTCCAGCCAAGCACTTTCCCTGTTGGGTTCCTCTCCCACTTCTTTTTTTTTTTTTGAACGATCGTCACATCTAACTAATGAAATGGTACTTTAATATTAGTTAGATTATAAACAATTAATCGTTGATATTAATTTAAAATATTAATTTCGTTTAATATAAAATGGGATTTTTATATTATTCTTCCCCCTTACAGTAGACTCTTACACTCATTTCTTCTTTAGGTTATAAAAGTTCTAGGAAATAAGTGCAATGCCCRTTTTATGTTCAGAGGAGCAGACTCAAGAGAGAGGTGGTGAGGAGCCCTCAGTCAGGCACCTGGGAAGGGAGCCTGGTTTTTTCAGCCTTCCCTGTGTGACAGAGCTTTCCTTGTGTCACCTCCCACCACTCTCACAGGGAACCTGAGTGTGGGACGCCTGTTCTCAGTGTGACGMGTGCCAAAGATCTCACAGCTGGAAACAGCAGGCCTGGATCTGAAGCCGGGTTTTCTGGCTCCAGGTTCAGTGCTTTTTCAWCCACGTCTACTGCGTCTCAGCCAAAGGCAATTTTGCCACAAGGGGACATTTGGGAATGCCCATGAGACAGTTTTGATCATGACTGCAAGGATGTTGCTGGCATCTAGTGCAGAGACCAGGGATGCTACTAAATACCCTGCAATACACAGGACAGCTCACTTCCACCCATAAGGAACTCTCCAACTGAATGCAGGAGTAGTGCCCAGCCTGAGAAACCCCGGAGTCCTGCCCGGAGTAGGTAGCCTCAAATGCCCTCGAATGGTCCCTACCCACCTGCTACTACGCTTACCTCATTAGGGGATTGCTCAGCAATAGGAATACAACTACYTTTATTGAGACCCATATTGAAGGGTGATGGTAAAAAACAAAAATATGCCCCAAAACACAGACAAATGCATTATATGCTTCCTCTTTCCTGAAAGTTCTGGAGGAGGCAGATGCATTGGCACAAGTGATGTCTAGGGCCCCTTTGACTCTGGGCCTGGGAGAGCACAGGTTTCAGAGGTAAGCAAGTCCAKGTTCAGAGAGGCTCTTGCACTTCACAGCTGTGTGATCCTGAGTGACTCACTTGAACATTCTGAGCCTCCATTTYCTTATCTGCCAKCTGRGGTGTTTAGTGCCMATTCATGGTGTGGCTGCTGGGTCCAAGGTGGTAGGATCAAGTTAGGTATCTGCCTTTGTGCCCAGCATGCAGCAGGCCTACCCAAGGAGTGGCAGCTGGTTTGGGGGCTCCTGGATTCCAGGCAGAGGCCCTTGTTCTTTCTGTGCCTGCAGATGCAGCCCATCTATGAGGTGCTGCGCCACACAAACCTGGGGCCTCTGGAGACCAAACGCCGGAACCTGCGCCAGGCCCTGGACCAGTACCTTTTGGAATTCAACGCCTGCCGYTGTGGGCCCTGCTACAACAACGGGGAGCCCATCCTGGAGGGCACCAGCTGCCGATGTCAGTGTGGCCTGGGTCGCCAGGGCCCTGCCTGTGAGTGGATGGAGCTAGAGGGTAAGAACTTTGTATCCCACTCGGTGTTGGCCTGGCCCAGCTCAAAGAGGCCAGTGCAGAAGGGACCTTAGGGTTCCTGGCCCCTCCTTTCTTTCTTTTTTCTTTATTGATTTTTTAAAAATATAAATCACAGCGGAATGCATTACAATTCTCACTTCATGTATACAGCACCATTTTTCATATCTCTGGTTATTTAAAGAATGTTGACATCAATTCGTGTCTTCTTACATGTCCTTTAGATGATGACGTCCATCACATTCCACATCATTTCAAACCCCATGCCCCCTCCCTTCCCCTCCACCCCCTCTGCCCTATCTAGAGTTTATCTAACCCTCCATGCTCCCCCTCCCTACCCCACTATGAGTCAGCCTCCTTATATCAGAGAAAACATTTGGCATTTGGTTTTTGGGGGATTGGCTAACTTCACTTAGCACTATCTTCTCCAACACCATCCATTTACCTGCAAATTTCTGGCCCCTCCTTTCTATGTCTTCTCTGTATCCGCCAACCTGGGAACCCACACACTATTGCCCCATTCCTGACCCCATGTTTAATGGCTCTTGTGCCTTCTCCCTGCCATCAAGACTCTCTGTTGTCTCAGCCTTCTGGAAGCTGGAAGTGCAGACTTCAGGTGCTTTGCCAGACTGGTTGTGGACTCTGAGCAGCCTGTGCTCTGTGCCTCTCTCCTGGCTTCCAGCGTTGTTGGCAATCCTTGGGTCCCTTGATTTGTAGATGCGTCACTCAAAATTCTGCCTCCATCTTTACATGACATTCTTCCCTTTGTGTCTGTTTTCTTATAAGCATACAAGTCATTGGATTAGCGCCTACCCCAATCCAGTATGACCTCATCCTCACTTGATTTCACCTGCAAAGACCCTATTTCCAAACAAGGTTACGTTCACAAGGAATGGGGATTTGGACTTGAACATGTCTTTTTCAGGAACACAATTCAACCCCTACAAGGGATAAGTGTTGTCATTGCATTCCTAAACTAGCCTGGAGTCAAGACCCAAAACGAGATCGGGGCAGGTAGGTTTCAATGTATAGGATGCAGCATGAACCAGTGGACACCAGGAAGAGTTAAAACTTCGTGCTGTGAAGATGAAGCGTGAGGACCCAGATATGAATCCCAGCTATTGCACTACATTCTGACACTTAACTTTCCAATCTTCATTCCTTTGAGCTCCAAGAATCTCAATGCATGTCCCACTACCTAAGCTTCCAACTTTCCAGGAACACAAAACTGTTTTTCTATGGTGCACAGAATGATAGCAAAACACATGGGCTGCCAAAGCAATGTAGAAATCAATCTCATTTGGCTGCTGTAAGGAAGAGCATGTAAAGGAAGTCTGTGGGTAAATCTAAGATACTCTGGTCCATAAAACAAATTGTTGAAGGACAGGGTGGATGGGGTGGTGGTGGGGTGTGTGGCTCCRCAGCCATGTGAAGAAAATGGACCAAGCATTCAATACCAACAGATGTCCCCAAAGCAAAGGGCTAGGTTAATAGAAGTAAAGAGCTGGAATGAGATGCTTCTTTGAAGTCCCAGGAGCTTTGCTCTTGGTGCCTGCTTTATCAGACATTGGCCAAGCAAAGTGGGCAACTGAGGGAATTTGGAAGATTCAAACCTGTGTCCTAAGAGGAAGAGCATGGAGAAGACTCAGGAGGGACAAGTCCCCCTGCGAATGACCATGTGGGAAGGGAGGAGACTTGTTTTGTGTGGCTACCGAGATGAAGTTGTAGGATTAATGAAGAGAAATTAGAGCAAAGGGATTTTGGTTTAAATGAGGATCAACTTTCTTCCAGACACACTGTGCTATATGTGTAGTAAGAGAGGGAGAAGGCTGTCCACTTGTCAGAAAGTTCTAGAAGGGATTCATTCATCCAGTGGATGGTAGGGTGAGATGGTCTCAGGGTCTCTTCCACTCCCGGAATCTCCGAGTCATACATATGGAATTAGCATGATGCTTGTGACCTGGGTAGGGTTGGGGACAAAGGAAGCATTTGAAGCCCCAGTCTTTCTATATCTGTTCCTGTCACATACAGTAGGTTACAGGTACTTCATTAACTTTTTTCCAAGCAGGGTATGGATGTCAGGTGGCCTTAGGACTACTGAGCTGAACTTTCAGCCTGACAGAGAATACATTGGCAAGGGAATCTAAGGCTGGGGAGTCCATGAACCACCATGGAGACCCATTAGAGTCCCTAGGAGTCTTCCCAGCAAAACATTGCCTCTGGGAACAAAGTCACAGATATGGGAGAAACAGAGACAGAGAATTCTGCTGTGGCTGCCCCATCAGGGAGCATAATTACAGAGCTGGAAGGGACATGGAGTTAATCTAATCCAATGATACTCACACTGGGATCTGAGGAGGCTTGGGGTCCTCAGAGCTGCCCCAGAGGAGGAGGGTGAGCCTGCTAAACACCCCAGCTTCAAACAGAACAGTTCTCTTTTCATCTGACTTGAATGTTGGGGTCCGTGGAAGATTTCATTTAGGAATAAAAGTAGTGATGAAAAAATAATAATGAAAAAAATAGATTAGTCCATCCTTCTCTGTTATAGAATTTAAACAGCCTTGGAGAAGAAAAGGGTTGCCCAAGGGCATAGAGATGCTGTTAGGAAATCAGCCCCTGGGACTGGATCCTAGGTGCTGGATTTTCAGACATTCCACAGTCAGTGCATGTATTCTGATGTCCTATGCAGAGAATCTGTTGCCCACCGTGTCCCCATTATCAGAGTCTGTGGGGAGTTGATTTGGAAAACTTCATACGAAAGCCCAGCCATCTGCTCAGGAGAGGTGTCTAGCCAACCTTTTGCTCTGAATTCCCAGCTGGGCAGTATCCCTGCTCGCCACAACCTCCAGTGTCTTGCTGTCCTCCTTCCAGAGGAGCTTGCCTCCGGCCTCCCTCCACTATCCATCTTCCATGGAATTGCAGATTCTAATTTTATGAGATGGGCTCCCAGCGGCCTCTTCTCACTCTGTCCTGAGTTTCAAATTAAGTGTGAGGCAGTGAGCACAGAGGTCTTGGTTGGCTACCCCAAGGCATTTCCCCACTGAGGGACTGCAGACTACTCCAGGGTGACAGGATGGCCCTCCCTCTGTACATTTCAGCCAGTTGCTTCCCCCAGGCTAACCTCTTCCTCTCCTGGGAAATTTTCTCTGCAGGAGCCAAAGCTGATGGTCGCTGGAGCTGCTGGAGCTCCTGGTCTGTGTGCAGAGCAGGCACCCAGGAAAGGAGGAGAGAGTGCAACAACCCTGCACCCCAGAACGGAGGCGCCTCATGCCCAGGGCGGGAAGTGCAGACCCRGGCCTGCTGAGCTGGGGGGCATGGGCTGGATGCTGCAGAGGGGCCACTGGCACTGGCTACTGGATCCAATTTTCTTTCAGCTGAGAGAAAATGCAGATCAACACAGATCCGTTTTCTTTGATCATTCGTGGCATCGTGGGCTTTTCTAGCAAGAACCCACAAATTCTTCCGGCCCCCACCCACTACCCAGTTCTAAAACTGCTTCTCTGTTGTAGATATTTGCTACCRCAGCACCTCCCCTTTGCAGCATGGTTTTTCTGTCCTTGCCTATTCAGGCCCCTGTAACAATACAAGGGGTGGCTTATAAACACCAGAAATTTCTTTCTCACAATTCTGGATGCTGGAAGTCCAAGATCAAGTTGTCAGCAGATCCAGTGTCTGGGGAATGGCCCACTTTCTGGTTTAGCCATGACCATCTTTTTGCTGTGGGCTTCCACATGGCAGAGGGGACTACCGATTCTCTAGGGCCTCTTTCATGAGAATTCCACCTTCATGATCCAATCAATCACCCTCCCACCAAAGTCCCACATCCTAATAAGACCAACACCGTTGGGGTTTGGACTCCAATATATAAACTTGAGGGGACATAGACATTCTGACCAGAGCACATATAATCAGTCCCATACCTCCTGTGACTATTTATGATCTTTTTTGTTCCCCCAAGAGATGGTAAACTTGAGGGAGGAAGCAGGTTTGTTTTGTATAGCACTGAATTCCCAGAGGCCAGGGCTGGGCCTTGAATACAGCAGGGAACTAGTCAGCAAATGAATGGATCCAAGGGCCATTTCAGAGATGAGATCTGTACTGCCCAATCTTCTAGTCAATCTCATTTGGAAAGTCCAACCAGGGACTGTCAACTCGTCTTCCCTGACCCATCGCTGGGAGAGTCGATCACACCAGCCCCTCTTAGTGTCCCACAGCACTCTAGCCATGCCTCAGGTAGAGGGCATGCTGTGTGACACTGAATTTTTTGTTTTTCTATTAGTTTTCTGTACCAGATTTTGTGTCACTTGTGTGAGTCAGCTTGTTTTTGCTGTCACCAAAATACCAGACAAAAATAACTTGAAGAGGGAAAGATATATTGTGGTTCATGGTTTCAGAGGTTCAGTCCATGGTTGGCCAGCTCTGAGGTGCAATCATCTTGGTGGAATGGTGAAGCCGAGGAAAGCTGCTGGACTCACAGCAGCTGGTGGGAAGGGGAGCAGGGAGAGAGGGAGAGGGAGTGGGAGAGGGGAGGGAGAGGGAGAGAGGGAGGAAGAGGAGGAGGAAGACAGGGAGGAGGAGGAAGAAAAGCACCCAAGGACAAGATAAACCTAGGGCATGCTTCCGGGGACCTACTCTTGCCAATTAGGTTCCACCTCCAGTAATTCTTTTGGCCATCAATGGATTAACGTACSGATGAGGTCAAAGCCCTTATGAACTGATCATTGCCTAAAAGTGCCACCTTTGAACTTTGTTGCATTGTGGACCATGCTTTCAACACACAAACTTTAGAGGAACATTCAAAATCCAAGCTATTATATCCCTGAAGGCCAAATCTACATTCCTAATGTACAGTAGGTTCTTGGGTACTAGGTGTGTAGACTGGCATATGTATTGGTGCTTCATAGCTTTCTATAGTCCACAATCTTATTAGGGTAGTAATAKATTTATTTACAGTTGTCCCTTGGAAGCTATAGAGGATCAGTTCCAGGACCTCCCATAGATACCAAAAATCTATGGATGCTCAAGTCTCTTATATAAAATGTCAAAGTATTTGCATATAAGCTGGGCATATCCTTCTGTATACTTTAAATCATCTCTGGCTTACTTGTAACACCTACTACATTATAAATACTGTGTTCATAGTTGTTACACGGTATTGTTTAGAGAATAATAGCAGGAAAAAATGTCTGTACATGTTTAGTCAGACACAACCATCACAGTCCTGACCCATTCTCCTTCCCAGGTTGGTTGAAACCACAGATGAGGAACTCTTGAGTATGGAGGACCGACTGCATACATGAAGCAAGTAGAGTTTAGAGCCCACAGGGAATCAACTACYGAGTTAATACCCAAATATGTGGCAYATAACATAAATGCTGCAGGTGGCCAGGAGGGAGACAGACTTATGTGTCCCTTGGTGTGTAAGTTATGGATGGCATGAGTTTAACCCAGACCTTGAAGGATATTTGAATTCAGTAATTAGGGAGGTGATCTTTGAGTTAGAAATTCAGCACAAGACAAAGTTTGACAGGGAGACAGATTATTGTGTGTGTGTGTGAATGTGTGTGTGTGTGTGTGTGCATGTCCGTGTGTGTTTGTGTGTGTGAGAATAGAAAAGATAGTTCAAGAAAATAAAACAAAGTACATAAAACATTTACATTTATCACAATGCCTGTCACACAGCAAATTATCATCACCATTATTAATTAAAGAATATGGTTTAGAAGTTATTTCTAAATAAACTTAGATCTTTTATCTGAAAGGAGGAAAAACAAAGACGAATTCCTTACTGAYTTCTATTCTGTCATTAATTTACTTTTTTATCCTCACAATTAATTTACATTAATAATTAATTTATATTCATTATTTACCAGGGAGTGGCAGTTACATACTGGAAAGTGACCGGGGGCCAGATATGCCAGACCAAGTGGGTAATTTACAGAGGACATTCAATCTTGATCTGGAAACAGTGGTTTCAACCTGGGTTGCACAGTAGAACTTATTGGGGAGTTTTATAAACTCTGATGTCCAGAYGCTGCACCCCAGACTAATTAGATCCAAATCACTGGAGGTGGCAACCAGACATCAGGAATTTTAAAAGCTCCCCCAGGCAATTCCAAGTGCAGCCAAGGTTGAAAACACATGAGAGTGGAGAAGGCCTCATATCGCGTGTGTGATGAGCAGAATGGCAGGAACAGAAATGTTCATTTGGCAACTTTGGAGGCTGAGGCGGGAGGCTCACAAGTTTGAGGCCAGCTTTGGGTACTTAGCAAGACCCTGTCTCAAAAAAAAAAAAAAAAATCAAAAGGACTGGAGACATAGCTTAGAGGTACATTTTTCTATACATCCCTAGTACAGAAAAATGATTTTTAAAAAAATCTGTGCTATTTTATCTAGTCTTATCTCACAGGTTTGTCCTGTGAGATCTATTTTACAGCTAAGGAAACTGGATGGCAGCATGGTTGGGTCAAGCGTCACAGGGCTGGAGGGCTGTGGATTGGCCGTGTTCCATGGATCCCACGCTTCACCCAGCCCTTCTCTCTCTCCTGTGTTGGCTGCCTGTGGAGGGATCTGAAGGATCACCTGGGATACATGATAAAGGGGAGAAATGAGAGACAAGGAGGCTCCCGAGGAGACCAGGGTAGTAATCTGGGTGCATTTGGAGAAATTTCGGGTTTAAGCAACTATCTGGATCAAGTGTGAGCCCAAACCACTAGCTAGGCAATGCCATCTGCCTGTCCTCTGAGTCCTAGAACCGAGGCCAGCCTCTGTCCCACTGCTCTGAGGAGGCCTATCCCCAGAAGTTCTAGAAATTAAAATACAGCAGCTGTGGCCATTTCAAAGGTTGCATCCCTTTACCAGATCAGYGCCTTCCCTTCTTCAGGAATTATTTGCTCCCACAAAGCAAAAAGCATAAAATGCTCTCAGCACATTCTGCCTGGGTCCTTTAAGGAGCTCTGTAATCTCAGGGTTTCTAGGTAGTGGGTGTAAACACAAGGTTTAAAGATATAATCTTCAGCTTGACAAGGTGTCTTTTGAAAAGTAAATTAATGACAGAGAGAAAAGCAATAAGAAGAGCTTTCTTCTTCTTCTTCTTCTTTTTTTTTCCTTGAGAGAGAGGAAGATCTAAAGAGCTCAGCACTCAATGAATCTCTCCTGAACGATGTGCCTTTAGGGTGAGGAAAATGGACAGAGAGAAAGGGAAGGCTTCAAAAGCCAGCACGCGCTGCAGAAAGGAGCCGTGGCAGAGCGCTGCCGTGGAGAGGAAGGGGTGGGATGGGAATTAGCAGAGGGCGCTTCTCTCTCACAAAGAAAATTTACGCCGTTGCTGCCCCTCCACTGTGGAATCGGGCCACTGATCTTCTGGTGACCTCTAATGCCAGCTCCATGCCAGGTGGCAGAGGTTCAGAGAAGTCATATATGGTCGCAGACCTGGAAAGATGCAGAGCCTGGGAGAAGAGATCTGTGAACCATGGTGATGGTTTCCGGGCCAGCAAGCCCAGGGGGCTGTGGGAGACAGCCCAGCCAGGGGAGCAGAAAGAGTCTGGAGGAGGGGGGGGGGCACCCTGCAGAGTCTTGGAAGCCAGCAAGAGTCAGAAAGGCAGCACAAGACACAGGGGCACAATGACACARGGGCAATGGCCCCGTGCAAAGCCCTCACCATGACATAGGCTGGGGCAGTTTCTGCACGTGCTCCTTGGGTGCTGGTGCTGGTCCTCACCAGGCTGGGGATGTCACTGTTGTCCTCAACCTTTTTCACTGCTGTGACTAAAGGACCTGACCCGGGCAATTGTAGAGGAGGAAAAGTTTATTTGGGGGCTCATGGTTTCAGAGGTCTCAATCCATAGACAGTCGTCTCCATTCCTCGGGGTTCAAGGTGAGGCAGGACATCATGGCGGAAGAGTGTGGCAGAGGGAAGCAGGTCACCTGATAATCAGGAAGCGGAGAGAGACACTCCACTCTCCAGACACAAATATATACCCCATAGCCACGCCCCCAGTGAACCCCTTCCTCCAGCCACACCCCCCTGCCTCCAGTTACCACTCAGTTAGACCCATCAGGGATGAAGTCACTGATTAGGTAAAGGCTGTGACTCAGGCAATTCTCCTCCAAACCTTCCTGCATTGTCTCACACATGAGCTTTTGGGGGACACCTCCTCTAAACCACAACAGTCACTTGGCCTTTCCAGTGCTAGGTTTGGGGGAGATCCCCATAGCACTTTCCAGCCCCCTCTCCATTTACCTTGGGGTGCTTTTGGGGTACAGTCGGAGGGAGGGGTTGAATTCCCCACAACTATTGTTATAAAGGCACAGCATTTCAAATTGGATTCACAACTTTCTGATCTGAGGCCAATGTACCCATTCCATCTTTTTCTCTTGGGCTCCATAGGCCCACTATATAAAGCAATTACTGTCCCTGATGTGATGGACAAAGCCCTCTATGACAGTCATGCAGGCCTTTGGGCTGTGCCTCACACAAGCCAGGCCCTGCCCTACCT